TCCAACAAACCTGAAATATGAAACACCTACTTATTGTCTAGTGTTTGTGACTGTATTCTTAAACTTCATAGTTCATCCTTTCCTTCTGTGAAAAGGACAGACTGTCACCCTTGTATTTAAAATCAGAAAAATCACTGAAAATTGGTAATTACATTTACCCCTCTCCCTGAACCCTGGCTCTACATTCTACGTGACAGCATGATTAGGAGAGAGAGTTTTACCATTTCACCAAGTTGGAAAGGTAGAGAAGGTCCACTTGGCCTGCAGACACTTTTGTGAAGTGGGTGGGGATGATGGATAGACCAATGGCATGAAGATCTGGCTGGCTGCAGATCCTGTTCCTATAGAAACCATTTGCTAATAAACACAAGAGATGAACCTGAGAGAAAAAAGTTTCTATAGTGAGTTTACAAGAGATTTTCTTTGCTGGAACTATTGTCCATGGTATAGACGAGGAAGGCTTTACTGCTCCTTTTAACAGAGACGGGCAACAATGAAGCCTCCCAAGCATACACAGAGTGGACACAGGGCTGTCTTCAGATCACCATCAGAAGACAGTAAAGCCTTGAAGCCCCTATTAGTGCCTCCTGCTCTACATGACCGACAGTTTAACCCCAACAGAATGAGCAGATACACACTCAATGGAGAAAAATACACCCTACTCACATCTGCTTTGATTTAGAATCTTACTAATGCAGTCACTGATGTTTCTAACTTACAGTTTAGCAGAAGTCTAATGAGCATTTGTCAGGACTACAGCCTTTTTATTTTTTCACTACTAGCCATGGCTAGTATTTGATCAAATTATTTGATCAAAATTAGTTTGTCTTCATTACAAATCAGTTCAGACATCTTTATGCTCAGTTTTTACTCTGCCAGGTTTCTCGGTGACCAATACCTTATGTGTGTCCTCACGAACCTCCTTGCTGAAACGTTTCATCATTCTCCGAAGATACATCTCAAACTCGGCTTTCCTTTTTTCTCTGCATAAGATTACAAAAGAAATGGATGTTGTGGGTTTTCTATGGACCTGCCTTTCTAGATTCCTGAATTGGATCAGTTCACAAAGAGAATCCATCCCAGAGAATCTTCTGTGCATCCTTAACAAAAGTTTAGTTACTGGCTATGTGAATAGGCATACAGGCTGCACATGACTGACAAACTGTGAACTCCACATACCCAACTACTGAGAGCTTGGGTATATTCAGATGGCCTAAATTCCACCTAACTTTATGTGCCTACAGTTTCCGACCAGACAGCTTTGGACAGCTCCATACTAAAGTTATAATTCACCGTCTGAATTGTTTGACTTGTAGATTACTTCTAGCATTCCATTCAGATTCCTGGAAAAATGGTTTTCTCTTCCTTGATGAAGTCTTTTAACTTAGAGGCAACAGATATTCTGGTTGCTTTGTTATGAAGGGCTGGCCTGGGACAGTGCCCACCCTGTAACTGCATGAGGTATCATCAAGCCTCCAGCTGCCACACAAAGAAAGCCTTCCTTGGTATAATGCTCCCAGCTGCCAAGGACATTCATTCGACCCACCTATTCACACCTCAGGTATGGGCACACAGAGGCTTCCACCTGAGCTGTTAAGATATTTGCAGTACAACAATGCCATTCACCCACAGCTCTCCTTGAAGAGAGCTACTACTGTTCCTGGTTTGGAAACGTAGATATTAAAGCACAATGAAGTTAGAGGCTTGATTTTCAAGGAAGCTGAAAAACCTCCATTCCCACCAACCTCCACTGAAGAATTTTGGTAAAATTGTTAAAATTATTATGGTAAAAATGTTAAAATTTGGTAAAACTGTTCTCCATCCCATGACCTCGCATCATTCCAACTCAACAGTCTGCATGATGTGGGGATTTCCACCCAGAACTGAGCAAGTCAGTGACAGTCAAAACTTAGCGTATTTTTAACTTCATCCTTTAATGGCCCTCCACTGCCTCCCCTGTTCTTACCTCCTCTCTCTTTTCTTCACCTGCTCTGGGGTTTCAATCTCTATCTCGACAGGATTGCTTGGCAGCACCACTGCCGGAAGAACAGCAGCTTCTTCTAACTTATCTGTGGCAGGTTCCTGGAGTTCTGGAAAAACAAAATATTACTAAATGATAAGTAAACATGGAATAGATGCTCCAGGGAGGTCTGACAATGGGGTAAGAACCTACCTATCCTTCTCAAGTGTTCAAACAACCTACAAACAGAACATCCCCAGTAATTACCAGCTCCTGGATCTTCCATAACACTGTCTGTGCTCAGTTATTTCAAATAACTGTGGGATGCCAGCCACCTGCTGTTGAGGAATCGGCTCAGCACAGTCTAATGGCAAGTGACTGCCATAGGCAAACTGACAAACAGGAAAAAGGTGAATGAAGCAGATGTGACCTGAAGGGTACTTGTAGAGCAGCAAAGAAAAAAACTGACAACTGTTCACTTTAGAAGGCATAAATCTGTAGCAGCAAAACACGAAGATTATGATCATCATGATTCTTATCACAGTTTGTTGATGGCCACCTAATCAAACAGCTCAGTTGGTTTCATCTCCACTCTCCTTTACTAGGAAGTCGCAGTTTTGAATCTTCAAACCGACTCATTCTGAGCTGCTCAATATTAGACAACACAAACAGCTGAGGAAGTGCTTTGTGCATGGTAGCATAATTTTAACGTAAGCCAACAAATAGTCAAATTCAAGGCACTACCATAAGGTCAGTAGTTGTCTGGGTTTTTCTACTTTGGAACCATTCTAAAAGCATTGGGAGATATGAGCTTTTAAAGATACAGATATGCACATGGAGCATACTTTAGGTATACAGAGTATATACATTTACCTGAATCCAAATGAGAAATGGTTCAAAAATCAAATTACCAAAAAAAAAAGTGTGTAAGAATATTTACTCCTTAAAAAGAATAAACACGCAATTGTTACCTTCCACATCCTCCCATTCATCTTCACTTTCATCATCATCATCGTCAGTATTGTCTTCATCCATCTCTTTTTTAACAGGAAATTCTCTCTTCAACTTTATCTCCTTCTGAGGGGGCTTCAGCGAGTCACTGTTAAAATTATCAAAATGGCTTTAGCATCAGGAAGTGTAGGTGCTTGTTTATTTAAGAAAAATAGAGAAAGAACACACTAAAAATAGGGAAATAAATGAAGCGTGACCTCTGCATCAGTAACAACACATTGAGTATTTGACAATTAAATCACAGACACCTTCTCTGTAAAGGAAACCACCTTTGCCATAAATAACCACGGAGTCAATGGAGCAACACTTTTTCAGTGCAAACTTAGGTCCTGGTTCTGCAAGGATGTTTAGGAAGATGCCTGAACCTACAAAAGGCCCCATCCTTTAGAACAGCTTGTACAAATCAGTCCTTGGAGAAATGGTTCACTGAATCATTTGTTCTTACTGAACCTTCAGAGTGTACTGAAATTGGAGCTGTTTCTGTTTCACTACACTAATACCCAAGGCTCTGGCTGGCCAGTGAAATGAGACCAATCAGCTTAATTTCTCTTTATTAATTCATTTGCTGTAGCAACCTCCATGGGCAGACCATGCTGATATTCTATTTGGATTCCAAAAAACACCAGAGAATGATATGTTTAAAGATTTCTGCTCATCATTTTAAACCCAAATCTCAGGCCAACATTTCTATTCATGCTGGATTCCATAAAGCTTCCCTAGTCCCATGTAAAAACTATAACAAATGGAATAAAATTTTATATTTAAACCATTTAATTTGAAAAGGCTCACATATTTGATTCCCATACAGACCATCTTCCTCAGGACTGACTCTGCAGTGAATAAGACGGTACTTCTGTCCAGCTGTGTGACACAAATGTACTAAATTGGACTGATAGCCTAAAATAAACTGCTCACATGCACATATGCAGCACTGGACCCTAAACAAATAAGATGTAACCACGAACAGAGAGCTCCTATAGACTCGAATGATAATAAGTAAACTTACCTGCAAGTTTCCTCTTTGTTACGATTCCCTTTATTTCTAGTAATTTTTTTATTTTCTTTTATTAGTGATTTTGCCTGTTTTTGTTTTGAAGGCTTATTTGCTGAGTTGGAAACTCCAGTATCACAATCTTCTTCCTTCTTCCTAGCCAGAGCTTTTGAGTCATTCTTCTTTACACTGGGCTTTTTCTCTTCAAAATCATCTGCATGGGACAGAAGAAAGATATGTTAAAGGATGAAGCCTTATCTCCATGGCAATCAGAAACAATACCTCCACAGACTTCATTAGAGACAGCTACAGAAGAAAGTGAGCACTCACGATGATGAGCATATCATTGTTTCTGAATAAATAGGTAAGAATTGAACAAGAAGACCTGTTTAAGGAAAATACTCATAATAATGTAATGCACAAGAAGTACATACAGATTCCTGTAGTCCCACCAACGGAGTCAGCTGGAAAACAAGCATCGTGCTTGCCACTCACAAGAGATTATTGTTTTGTGAAGCTGCTCTGGAGAACTTTTTTCAGGGCACCTCCTGGGACTCGGACCCGCATGTCACGGCCGCCGCCGCAGCGGGGGGGGGCCGCCGC